CAGGGTCTATCAGCCTGGCCTCGGGCTCTGTGCCCAATCCAATATCCACTCATGACCCCCCTCACCAGCCCCCCTCTCCCACTGTCTTCAAAGCCAGGGACCTGGCAGTGGTTCTGAAAGCCGGGCAGAGCCTCCATGCCATGGCTTGGCATGGAACTCAAAGGCTCAATTAGCAACATCTGCTCTTGTGGGCTGTAAAAGCCTCTCGCTGCTCCCCTCCCTTGCTCGGAGTGCTCACAGCTGGGAGCAGCATGGGGCTGCAGCCAGCCCGGCCAGGGGAGCTGTGCCCCTGGCTCACAGCTGTCATAGCTTGCTGTGCCACCTCTGCCACTGTGCCACCTCTGCCACCACTCTCCAAACCCCGTAGATCCATGGTCTGACGGCAGCTGAGTGTGAGGGACAAGGAGTGAGCTCTTCTCTCTGGTAACCAGGGAATGGCTGGAGCTGTGTCAGAGAGGGTTAGGTTGGGTATTGGGAAAAGGTTCTTCCCCTAGAGGGTGGTCAGGCACCAAACAGGGAAGGGTCTGGAGAGCCTGGAGTGGCTGGGAGTGCTCAGCCTGGAGAAAAGAAGGCTCAGAGGGGACCTTCTCCAACCTCCTTGACAGGAGGGAGTAGCTGGGGGGTGTCAGGCTCTGCTCCCAGGGAACAGGGACAGGATGAGAGGAAACAGATTCAAGCTGTGCCAGGGAAGGTTCAGGTTGGACATCACGAGGAATTTCTCCACAGAAAGGGTGCTCAGGCATTGGAAGGAGCTGCCCAGGAAGGTGATGGCTTTCTCATCCCTGGAAGTGTCAAAGGAAGGACTGGATGTGGCACTCAGTCCTCTGGGCTTGTTGACCAGATGGAGATCGGTCAAAGGTTGGACTTGATGACCTTGGAAGTCCTTTCCAACCTCAGTGATCCCATGATTGTATGAAAACCAGCCCATGCCCTGGAGGCTGGCTGAGAGCCCCCGCCAGCACCCATTGTTCGGGAGCTGAAGCAATCGGAGCCCTTTCCCGAGGAGCCTGGCGGGCCGGGCAGGCTGTCCCGGGAGGGCTGTCCCGGGAGAGCCGTATAGCAGCAGGGCTGGACACTGCTGTCATCGTTCCGCGGCTGCCTCCGAACGCGGCCAAGCGGCGCCACACGAGGCCACCGAGGTCAGGAGGGCACGGAGCCAGCGGGAATGGGATTTGTGAATGGGAGCGGGACGGGCAGGGCTGATGGGACAAAACCATGTGGTTCCGCTGGAGAAGGGGTCCCCGAGCCCCCACTTGGAGGCAGCTGTCCCCTCACTGCTGGTGCCAGGAGGGGACAAGGGAGTCCCATGGGCAGCACTGGCAGGGCACTGCTGATGTCTGACACGGCACCAAGTGTTTCTCCGCCTTTCCCAGCCTCATTCCAGGAATGTCCAGTATGTCCACTCCTTCCCCACATTTTGGCCATTAGATCTGATTATCCTTGATTTATTCACTCTCTGGGGAGCTCTCAGGGCCTCTCCCTCTGTACGAAGCAATCTCAGCTGCATTCTGGCTGCAGCAAAGCATCCCACCCTGGGGACATCCCTTGGGAGAGTCCCTAAAACCCCAGTGCCCCCCTCAGCTGGGGGTGTCCCTCAACTCCTGCCTGGGAGCTGGGGGGCAGCAGGGCTTGCCAGGAATGTCACCCCATGACAAACAAAAGAGGTGTGATCACAATCCCATAAAAACACATAATTGAAGCCCTTTGCCAAGGCCAGGCCAAGCCTTGGCTGGAGCAGTGGGAAGTGAGAATACACCTTGTGCTGATGGTGACTTCCTCCCTAGTTATCCCCACCAAGCATCTGCCTCACAGGTAATCAGGGAAACTCCAAATTCCCCAGGGAATGTTCCTGAGCACCAAGGCAGAGGCTGGCAGAGCTGCCTCTTCCACCTGAGGAACCAGGACTTGAATGCCAGCCTGGAGTATCTGCTTGGAGTAAGAAAAACATCCATAAATCACATTTCCCTTGGAATACTGGCAGTAAAACATCCATACAACACTGCCCTTAGCACACCAGCAGCAGCAGTAGAGGGAGAGAAGCCAGAGGAGGGCTGAGCAAAGCTGTTCTCTCCTGAAGGGTCATGTGTGAGCTGCTGCTTTGGCAGGGAGTGGGAGGAGCAGATAACGTTTTCCCAGGCAGAGGAAACTCCTGGGTGGAAATAGCGCTGTGCCCTGGAAACGGAGCCGTCAGCAAACAGGGCTGGTGCAGCCTCATCTCAACAGGTCGTGCTGAGCTGGGCACAGGCTCTGTGCTGGATGAACCTCTCCCAATGGGAATGGGAGTGATGAGTTCCTGTCACAGCCTGTGGGAGCACAGGGGAGCTGAGGTCAGGGACGGGCAGAGTGTTCCTGCACGGTGGCTCCCTGGACACCCTCTCCATGGCCTCCCTCCTGGTTTCATCCAGCGCCAGGTACACAAAAGGACCAGGAGTGCTGGGGCAGGAAGAAAGCCTCAGGCTGGGGGGAAAGCTGAAAAAGGGTGGGAACAGACAGGGACAGACAGGAAATAAGAAAGGAAGGACAGCTGGGCTCAGTGTCCCATAACTAATGGGGAGCACAAGGCTTGGAGGGGCTCTGTTGCTGTCTCAGCTCTTCCAAGACCTGGACAGGACAGGACAGTGCTGATCTCCTGCCTGCACCACTCCCCGAGACATGGAGTGATGGGACAAGGGGGAATGGCTTTAAACTAAAGAGAAAGGAAGTTTAGATGGGATATTGGGAAGAGATTATTCCCGGTGAGGGTGGTGATGTGTGGAGGTTCTGGCACAGGTTGCTCGGAGAAGCTGGGACTGCCCCTGGATCCCTGGAAGTGTCCAAGGCAAGGCTGGACAGGGCTTGGAGCAACCTGGGCTAGTGGAAGGTGTCCCTGCCCATGGCAGGGGCTTGGGCAAGGTGATGTTTAAAAGTCCCTTCAATCCAAACCATCCAGTGATTCCTCAAATGCTGGTCTGACCCTGTGTGCACAGAGCAGGCACAGAGAGTCCTGGGAAAGAAACCCACCCCAGGAACCCCAGACCTGCAGGAACAGCACTCTCAGCTATTCCAGCATCTCCTCCCAGCAGGGCTGTGGATGTGCTGGAGGAGCAGGAAGGGATGGGGTGGAAGAGCCAGAGGGAAGCAGCTCCTGAGGGAGCCACAGGTATCTGTGCCACGGCTCAGAGGAGCTGAGCCTCCAGCCTGGGTTGCAGATCCTTACATCACTCCCGGTGATGTTGAACATTTGTTCGTTCCGGCTGTAAAACCTCTCCTGGCTCTGCACCAGGTATTTCCCTCCCTCAGTGCCTCAGCCAGGGCTGAGCTGCTGGAGCGTGAGCAGCTCACACACCATGGCCTTTGTGACTAATGGCACCAGCTGAGGTGGCAGCCCCTCCATGAGAGCCCCTTTCCCACAGGGCTGGCTCTCCTCACGGGTTAGGATGATAAACAGGAGAAGGATAAAGCCTCTGGTGTCTCCCTGTGCCTGCAGGATCCCACTCTCCTGAGGCAGCTTGGGTAACCAGCTCCAGCACCCCATGGCCTTGAAGGAATTGGTTCACTTTGGGACAGAGATTGAGGAAAACTCCAGGAATCAATTTCCACAGCTGCGGTAGTGCCCAAGGCTGAGGATGGCTTTGTGGGTGGAGTAGGAGCCTCCAAGCAGGCTCTGCCCTCTGTTCTGTGTACACTGGGGTTTCATGTCCATAAAATTATGGAATCACTTAAGTAAAAGTGGCTCTCAGAGACTGTTGAGTCCAACCATCACCCCCAGCACCACCAAGGCCATCATCAATCCACATTCCCACGTGTCACATCCCATGATTTTGACCACTTCCACTGAGTTCATTGCTTCGCTTGGTGTCTGTTTCAATGCCTGACCATGTTTTCATTCAAGAAATTTTCCTAATATCCCACCTAAACCTCCACTGGTGCAACTTCTAGCTATTTCCTATTCTCCTATCTGTTGTTCCATGGGAGCACAGCCCGACCCCCTGCAGCTGTCCCCTCCTGTCAGGAGTTGTGCAGAGCCACAAGGTCGCCCTGAGCCTCTTTTTCTTCAGGCTGATCCCCCCAGCTCCCTCAGCTGCTCTTTATTTTCCACTCCCAGGGAGCTGATGGTCTCTCAGGGTTTAGCCATGCCAAAAACCCCCTAACAGGGATTTAGGGACATGAATGAGGGATGTCCCTGGAATCTACTTTTGCTCTCTGGTGATATCTGTCTCCCGGTCCCCCAGAAATGGAATCACTGGGGGCTCTTTGTGGGGCTGAGGGTGTGTGGGCAGTGAGGGGACACAGGCTCTGCTCTCAGGGGACAGCACCGTGTGTGTGGCTGCTGCCGGAGCCCCCAGGGCCCCTCTCCACCGGGACCTGTTGACACCGGGGATGGGCATGGGACCAGCCCGTGACGGTGAGGATGAGGATGAGGATGACGATTCAAGTGAGGGTTAGGATGAGGATGAGTGTGAAGATGATGGCAAAGGTGAGGTGAGGATGACCGCGGGGGTAAAGTGCCGGCGAGGATGAGGGAAGGGATGAGGAAGAGGCTGAGGGTGCGGATGAGGTGACGGCCAGAGTGGGGGTGAGGACGGGGCTGAGCGCGGAGCTGCCGCCGGGCTGCGGCGGGTGTTGGGGCGCGGGGGTGTCCCGGGCGGGCCGGGCCGGGCCGGGCCGGGCCGGGCCGAGCGGAGCGGAGCGGAGCTGTCCTTCAGCACCTCGGCAGCGCCGGCCGGGCCGGGCCGCGGCCGTGCCGGTGCCGGCGGAGCGGAGGCAGCGCGCAGGCGCAGCGCTCGCGGCTCCTCAAGGTGTTGGCGGCGCGGCCGAAGATGGCGACAGACTGAGGGCGATGGGGCCGGGCGGCGGCGGCGGCGGGCGCGGCGCGGCCCCGGCACCGCGCCGGGGCAAGCGGAAAGCCGAGTGAGGGCGGCCGGGGCATGCCC